AGGATTACCCCCACATCTAGCCAAGGATTACCCTCACATCTAGCCATGATTAACACCTCTCTACATCTAGCCAAGGATTACCCTCTCTACATCTAGCCAAGGATTACCTCCACATTCAGTTAAGGATTACCCCCACATCTAGCTATGATTACCCCCACATCTGCCAAGGATTACCCTCACACTCCAGCCAAGGATTACCCCACATCTAGCCATGATTACCTCACATCTAGCCAAGGATTACCCCACATCTAGCCATGATTGTTTCCCCACATCTAGCCAAGGATTACCCCACATCCTAGCCAAGGATTACCCTCACATCTAGCCAAGGATTACCCCCTCATTCCAGCCAAGGATTACCCCCCACATTCAGCTGGGAAGGATTACCCCCACATCTAGCTGCCAAGGATTACCCCCACATCTAGCCAAGGATTACCCCCAATATCTAGCTGGCGATTAATTCCCTCATCTCGCTAAGGAAATTATCACCAGAGGAAGAAACTCGAGCCAAGGAAGGATGTAATGACTGCTTGACCTTGTATCCTTGGACTCTCCCGGATCAGCTGGAGTAAACATTGCGATCAGCTGGAGTAAACATTGCGATCAGCTGGAGTAAACATTGCGATCAGCTGAAGTAAACATTGTGATCAGCTGGAGTAAACATTGTGATCAGCTGGAGTAAACATTGTGATCAGCTGTAGTAAACATTACGATCAGCTGGAGTAAACATTTTTCATGGGTCTTTGTGTTTATATTGTAACAGTAGATCTTTAAAGGCTCTATTCCCTTGTGAACTTATTACCATATATATATATTTTACTGTCTCCTTATTGGTGCTTGAGTCCTGGCGTTTGATTGGCTGAATAATTGCCGACCATAACAACGTTTACGGGGGGGGGGGTCATTGGTGTGCCGGTGACATGGTTCTTGTGGTTTATTATCCCCCGCTTAACGACGTTAGGAGGGGAGGAGGGGGTATAAAGAGGGGTTTCATTTGTCTGTGTTCGTCCTTTCCAGTTTTGTTTCCAGAGCGTAAATTGATTTTTTTTTTATCGTTTATGTTTCTACGTAAGTATTTAGTGGCTAAGAAGTGAATTTTAAGTAACATGAGTGATGAAGATACGGTCATACTTCTGTTAGTGTGGTTGTGTTGATCATACGCCCAACAGCATGTGATGAAATTGACCTAAAATCGTAACCAAAAAAAAAAAAAAAAAAAGATGCCGTAAGTCAGTATTATTTCTGAAGTCTTTTTGATCATATATTTAATACTTATTTGTTTTACTTTATTGTATTTTATTTATGAGAATAAAGGGGGAAATGGGGAGAAAAATATTGCTGTTAAATCCCTACAAAATTCTTTACATAATTTAACTTTAACCCGTCAGTAAGTCAAGTCTCGATAATGTAGTGTAAATATTCTATGGGATTCCAACGTAGGTAAATCCTTTGTGACAAGTTCCATTGATCGAGGAAATAATGTAGTGGTCAAGTATACAGAACACGTGGTCATTTATGGTGCGAGGTGAGAGTTATGTAGCAGTGGTGGTATAGAGACGACGTTTAAAAGACTCAGTAAGACTTTCACCTCAATCTTTTGTAGTTTGGAGAATTTTTATTTTATTTTAAGATGATACAAAATCCAGTAGAAATAATTCCTCAATCTGTGTTTTAAACTGTTGGTGTATTTTGAGATACAGGTGTTTGTATTCTACCTGTTTTGTATTAATTATCCCCAAATGTCCCCAGGAAGGATGACAGAAGTAACACGTGCTATATAAATATTCCTTACGTGACTTGTGTGCCCCCGTGAGGTGTGGACACAACACGAACAAGTAGAGCTATGAATTTCAACTCGACTTTGTGTGTGTGTGTGTTGAAGCATTACGAGCCACAACTTTTGGAATAATCTGTCTCCACGGTTCACAAGTATTCATCCCCCTTCTGAAGCACTGTTGCTCCCCACTCTCCCGTTTCCCCTTCTCTCTCTCTCTCTCTCTCTCTCTCTCTCTCTCTCTCTCTCCTCCCAATCTCCCCCCTACCTCTTGTCCTGCTTAAACCCCTATACCTTCACTCCTCTTCACCTACCCCTCCCCTCTCCTCCTCCCCTCCCCTTCTTCCCCTCTCACCATCAGGCTGCTACATCACCATCACTTTATAGTACTGTATATATATATATATATATATATATATATATATATATATATATATATATATATATATATATATATATATATATATATATATATATATATATATAAAAACACCCAAGTATCAAGGTCATATTTACTTTTGTTTTTATGCCTGCAGTTTTAGTTCGTTATAAATTTCTGATTCCCCTCATACTATGTTTCAACTTCCCGGTTTTTTCCTGACTATTACTGAGCACAGGTCACCCCCCCGCCCCCGTGTTGTGTTATTGGTCTTTGTCTCTTATTATTTACCTGTGATTCCTTAATGGAGGTGTGTGTGTGTGTGTGTGTGTGTGTGTGTGTGTGTGTGTGTGTGTGTGTGTGTGTGTGTGTGTGTGTGTGTGTGTGTGTGTGTGTGTGTGTGTGTGTGTGTGTGTGTGTGTGTGTGTGTGTGTGTGTGTGTGTGTGTGTGTGTGTGTGTGTGTGTGTGTGTGTGTGTGTGTGTGTGTGTGTGTGTGTGTGTGTGTGTGTGTGTGTGTGTGTGTGTGTGTGTGTGTGTGTGTGTGTGTGTGTGTGTGTGTGTGTGTGTGTGTGTGTGTGTGTGTGTGTGTGTGTGTGTGTGTGTGTGTGTGTGTGTGTGTGTGTGTGTGTGTGTGTGTGTGTGTGTGTGTGTGTGTGTGTGTGTGTGTGTGTGTGTGTGTGTGTGTGTGTGTGTGTGTGTGTGTGTGTGTGTGTGTGTGTGTGTGTGTGTGTGTGTGTGTGTGTGTGTGTGTGGGGTTTACCTGATGACGTGATATAAGACTAATTAACGTGTGTTTGTGTGTGAGTGTGTGTGTTTATTGTCATTTGTTTACCTGTATTGAACCACCTGCGTGTCGTGTGAGGGAGGGAGGGAAGGGTGCAGGGAGTGGGGGGTGCAGGTAGTCAAGGTGTTGTAAATTACTACCTGTTTTAAGTCTTATGCAACACCTGTGTCTGGGGGTGAAGGGCGGGGAGGCAGGTGGTGGCAGGTATATTATCACGTTTGTAAAGTCTAATTAACCAGCTGTGTGTAGAGAAAAGAGGGCAGGTGGTGGAGATGAGCGTGTGTGTGTGTGTACTAAGGTGAACCATCTGTATATCGAGAGTGGAGGTAAGATTGAGATAGAGGTTAGAGATGAAGCAGATGGTTTGGTGCGGCCCATGTAAGTCTAATGAACCACCTGTGTGTGTGTGTGTGTGTGTGTGTGTGTGGTGGGAGGGCGGGGCAGGTGGAGCAGGTGGCTCCCGGCTCTGTACACTGCACTGGCGGGGTTTCTGATGTGGCTGGCAGCGTTGCTCACATGTACGAGGTACTAGTCTCATTTAGGATTTTATATTTGGTGTTGGGAGGACTGGTGTTGGGGGTGTGGGGGGAGGGGGTGTTTGGAGTGTGGGGGAGGGGGGGTTGTGTTTGAGTGTGTGGGGGTGAGTTGTTTGGAGTGTGTGTGGGGGGAGGGTTGTGTTTGGAGTGTGGGGGGAGGGGGTTGTGTTTGGAGTGTGGGGGCAGGGGTTGTGTGTTTGGAGTGTGGGGGAGAGAGGTTGTGTTTGATGTGGGAGGGGGTTGTGTTTGGAGTGTGGGGAGGGTTGTGTTTGGAGTGTGTGGGGGAGGTGTTTGGGGTGTGGGGAGTGGGGGTTGTGTTTGGAGTGTGGGGGAGGGGGTTGTTTTTGGGTGTGGGTGGAGGGAGGTATGTTGGAGTGTGGGGAGGAGGGTTTTGTTTGGAGTGTGGGGGGAGGGGGGTTTTGTTTGGAGTGTGTGGGGGAAGGGGTTGTGTTTGGAATGTGGGGGAGGGGTTTGTTTTGGAGTGTGGGGGAGGGGGTTGTGTTTGGAATGTGGGGAGGGTTGTGTTTGGAGTGGGGGTGGAGGGGGTTGTGTTTGGGTGGGGTGGAGGGGGGTTGTGTGTTTGGGTGGGGGTGGAGAGGGGGCGTTGTGTTTTGGAGCTGTGTTTCTGTCTGTCTTTTAATCTTATTTTTATGAGATACATAATTTTGTTGTGTTTACCCTGTGTATTTGTACCTTCCTCCTTCCCTTCACTCTCTCCCTCTCTCCAAACTCTTCTTCCTATACACCCTTTATTCATTCACATACAATGTTTATTCATTCGTTTCTTCATCCTCCTTCCTCCTCTCTCCCCTTTTCTTCCCTCCCTCTCTCCCCCCTTTCCTTCCTCCCCTCCTACCCCTTTTCCATCCCTCCCTCTCTTCCCCCCCTTTCCATTCCTCCCTCTCTTCCCCCCCTTTCCATCCCTCCCTCTCTTCCTCTCGCCGCCTCACCATCCCACGCCTGTTATTCTCTTCCTACAAGTAAACAAACGCTTGGTGTGGTCGTGTAAGTATGGTGCAAGTTGGCCGCCCACACGATCATTACTGCACTGGATACCTCGACCACCTACCACACCCTCTACCACCACCACCACCCTCTCCCACCACACCCACCCCTCTCGCCCACTACCACCACACCCTCTCGCCACCACCACCACACCCTCACACCACCACCACACCGTCTCCCACCCACCACACCCTCTCGCCACTACCACCACACCCCTCTCGCCCACCACCACCCACACCCTCTCCCACCACCACCCTCTCACACCACCACCACAATACCCCTCTCCCGCCACCCCCACCACACCCCTCTCGCCACCCACCACCACCCTCTCCCCACCACCACACCCTCTCACACCACCACCACACCGTCTCCTACCACCACACCTTCTTCCACACCCTCCTTTTCCTCTGAGCCACAGCTGTTTACCTTGGGTCTGCTGAGGCTGTCTGTTTGGCTCAAAGCAAAACTGTTGAGCTGCCTCTCCATCTTTTATACATGAGAGCAGCATCCGTCAGGGGCCAAAGATGCGTCGGGGAGAGGGAGGTAAGAAGGAGGGAGGAGGAAAGGAGGGAGGTAGAGGGAGGGAGGAGTAGGTAGGAGATAAAGGGAAGGAGGGAGGCGTGGTAGGTGTTCACCCTCAGACGATACACGGGGCACCTCAATGTTTGCAGCTCTGTTGACTTCACCAAATATGTTTCGGGCTTGGTGTCTGAGGTGTCCGGCTTGGTACTGGAAGCATCATCAATTTGCAGTTATTTCCTTCTCACTGTGATTTCTTGAGCTATATTCTCCAACACACACAACTTAACCTTGAAACATCCTGGTGAAATTCTATGAAAGTTAATAATTAGAATTTGATGAGTAGTGTCACTTATCACACCTTGAAGGGAGGTACTAATGTTGTAAAGAGTATTGCTGAACTAGTTGGATCCTGTAACGTTAAACTAAGGATATTATTATAACATGAGACAGATACCTTCCCTAAATCTATACCAGAGTTTTGCCACCACATACAGGTCACAAGACAAAGACACACTAGGAGAAAATAAGGAGAGAATCCGACGTAAACTGGGCCGTGTTTTTCTTGGGGGAGAAGTTAAACACTCGTGGGTTTGGTCAGCACTTGTGTGGGCCGGTGAGTGTGGCCACAATATTGGACCAGCTGTGATGTGGCCATACTACTAGAGACCCAATTAGTATGGCCACGATACTAGAAGGCCTCCTCTACCCGTCATTTTTTTCCCTGTCAAGTTTTAATGAAATTCTTCCGTGGGTGTGCCGTCTTTTTCCTGTTGTGTTGGTAGTCGAGCATTTTTCCTTCCCTTTTCTTGTGATCGGGTAGTTAAAGGTCTTCTTCGTGTTGGTGTGTTTCATTCGTTCTTTAATAACTTGGTTTCGCTTTCTGGCTGTTAGACCTCTTCTGCTTTGGTCACTGGTGATTGGAACTTACATGTGCCGTTAGACTGGTGATTGGAACTCATATGTGCCGTTAGACTGGTGATCGGACATCGTAGTGGTCGTTCAATGGTGTGTCTGAACATCTCCATCGTGTCGTTTACTTGTGATTGAACCTCTCACCTGTCGTTCACTGGGGTCATTAGTTCTACAATATGTCGTTCTTATAACCTACATCATGTGTCGTTCTATGATGGCAACACCTTTTCTACATGTCGTTGTATTTGCTGTCTACATTTTCTTGCGTTAATTATGATCCATGTACCTCAAACTGCTGTGTCATCTTCCCTACGGGTCCTACTACTGGTGTTGTATCTCTTGACGTGTTAGATCGAGGGGTTAAGTCCTCCCCCTCCCCCCCTTCACCTTGTTGTTTCTCCTCCTGTGTCGGATCTCCTCATTCTCCTCCCCCTCACCTCATCCCCACCCCTGGAGTGTTGACGACGACGGTACTTAAGGAGCTTTAGTGAAGTCAAGGCCCTTTTGATGACGAGACAGAGGGCAGTCGATACCGGAGACGAGGAAGGGAGTGAGAGAGGGGGAGAGAGAGAGAGTGAGGGAGGGAGAGAGTGAGGTCGCTTCCTACCAGTGGCGGTGGTAGAGACGGGGACGCCTCGCGCTACCACGCCCTAATTACCTTACAATCTTTTGAATTCTCTTGAGATTTATTGGGCGTAAAGTGCGTCAGAAACTGCGAGAGAGGAAAAAAAGTGCGTTGCTATTGATCTCTGGTTTGCGTAGTAGGTGGGGGTAGAGGTTGAGGGGGGGGGGGCGTAGTAACACACCGTCACAGATGTGTTTGGACGCGCGAGAGAGGGGAAGGGTGTACCGTTAGCGCCACCGCCATACTCTGTACACCCACACCCGAATACACACGCACACATACGCACACCCACTCACAAACACACTCCCACTCACACCCACCTACACACACACAAGCACACACACACACACACACACACATACACACACACACACATACACCCACCCACGCTCGCCTCTCCAGGTGAACGAAACTCATTGGGACGGAAAGGTGCGCACTACCACGGGCGCTCACTGCAGGCCGGAGGGATGGAAACTGTGGGGTTGTATGAGAGAGAAAACGAGAGAGGTGCGAGGGTTAGAGGGATGGGTGTCTTGGTTCCTGAGAGACAGGCAGACAGAGAGACTTGAGATAGAAAATCAATGATAATAAGAACACGAGAGATGGACGTTGGTAGTAAGGAGGAGAATAATACGGTCCACAGTGTGTTGGTGCGAGTGGTGGAGGTCGGGCGCTCCACCCCAAGGCGTCGGCCGCTCAGTCAGCGTGTTTGAGGGAAACAAGCAACGCCACTGCGGTTGTTGCTGTCCTCCCTGCCAGGTTGTCAGTGCAGGAGTGCGCCCTACGCTCTCCACCCCGCTACACACTTTTTTTCGCTCGTGTTGCCTCCGTCATCAGTGTCGTGTGTAGTGATCACAGGTGTGATGCTCATACATACCTCGCTCGAGTCACCTAGTGTGTGGGTCATTCAGGTGTTGTGGCCGTCCAAACGTTGTGATACTGAGTGTTTGGGCTATTCATACGGTGTGTTTTGTGGTCTACCAGACGTAGTGATCCTGGAGGATGATGTGGTCAACCATACGTAGTGATTCTGGTTGATGTTTGTGGTCATCCAGACGTAGTGGTAATGTTGTGGTCATACAAACGTTCTGCTAGTAATAGTGTGCGTCACACACACACGTTGTTGAAGTCGTCCAGATGTTTGGGTGTTACAAACGTTGTGATGACTAAAAGTGTTGCTGTCACTCACTCGTTGGAGTGGTGACGCCCTCCGGTGATCTCGTTCTAATAACTGTTCTTATAATAATAGTTGATGATAAAGTGTTAAGTCACTTCAGTGTTCATTGTTGTAGTGATCATTGTTGTGGTCAGCCAGTTGTTTCCTTCCTCCACCTTACTGATTAAATAACTCTTTGATAAGTTGGTTTTGTTAGTGTTGTGTTATTGGTCAATAGTTACCGTGTGTTTTCCCTGTGTAACGAATGACTCAGTGTACCTAATAGCCGACGGTTTACAGCTTAATTACCCCCGTGAATTATTGTCATGTTATATTTTTGCAGGTGATAAAAAGAAAATGTGTTACAAGTGTGTGCTTAAAACAGTGCGTGTTACATAGAAGTGTTGGTGTGTGATGGTGCGGGGTGTAGTGCGGTACGCCCCGAGTCTCAGACTATATGGTGACATAGAAATGACATGGAGAAAACACTCGACTTCCGGGTGGAGGAGGAGGGTGAGGGCATGAGCCTCAGGACCCTGCTGTAAGGTGTTCTCCTGGGAGCAGCAGCTTCCTTGCCAAGTGCCGTCATTACCAGCACCCATGACCAGCCCGCGCCACGCCTTCAGCTGTCGGACTGGACGTGGCGTGCTGGTGCTTCCGGGGGTCCAGGGACCTGCGAGGGGACCCCAGGTGTCCGTCCAGACCGCATGGGCCCCCATCATCTTCCAGCGAGCGTTCCGGGTCAGTTGGTGAACAGTCGGTGATCAGTCAGCCCCGAGGACAAAGTCTACAGCGACAGGTCTATGCGCCTGTCGTCCAGTTGCATCTCCAGTCCCCAAAATACTCCACTTGGCACGGCCATGCATCTCGTATGCAATTTAGACTGGTTTCTCCGCCAGAGAGTAGACCTGTATCCCCCGAAGAGCAAACTCCGCCCTTTGGAGGTGCGCGGACCAAGGAGCCGCCCCCACTGGCTACCAGTACACCCCGCCACGACCGCTCCCCCAGACCATCTCCCCAGAGCCGACATTCTCCCCCGCCCCATCAGGAAGGCGCGGGACGCATCCAGCGGTCCCCAGGGCGTATGCGATCAACACCTCCAAGTAAAGCAGCCGCGCCACCGCGGAGCAGCAAGCCACCAAGTCCACTCAAGGGGCGTGGCGGTACGACGGTGACGGATCGCGGGGCCCCTCGTAGGCGACTTCGTCGCTCTCAGGGAAGGAGGGCGCCCCGCTCTAAACAATCGCCAGATTCCAAAACCTCAAGCCAAAGTGTCCGCCATAGTACAAAGACTTCCGTACCTTCTATTAGTCTCTCACGTGAGGACACGGTCTCGGACATTTCCATAGTGTCTCCCATGCCAGCCCTAGACGTGTCCTACACTGCCTACCTCACCCCAGACGTCCTCACCCCCAACGTCATCCCGCCCCAACCTGAGGTACATCGGGTGTGGACTGGGGACGGGTGGAACCTGGATGACGAGGAGCTGTATGTACAGCACAACCCTCTATACTGGCTGATGGCACCTCGCCCTCAAGAGCCCCCTGACCATCCCCACCCGCCTCACGGCCCTGACCAACCACACCCACCACAGGGCCGTGAAAAGGTCGACACTCCACGCGGTCCCGACCAGGGCTACCCACCACCTGGCCCTGATCAAACCTACCCTCCGTACGACCGTATCCAGACCTACTCTCCATATGGCCGCCCTAAGCAGGCCTACCCTCCACATGGCCCTGAGCAGGCCTACCATCCACGTGGCTCTAAACAGGCCTACCTTCTACGTGGCCCAGAGCAGGTCTACCCACCACGTGGCCCTGATCAGGCCTGTCTCCCACGACCTGCCCCTGAGCAGGCCTACCCCCTACGTGGCGTTGAGCAGGCCTACCCTCCACTTGGCCCTGAGCAAGCATACCCTCCACATGGCCCTGAGCAAGCATACCCTCCACATGGCCCTGAGCAGGCCTACCCCCTACGTGGCGTTGAGCAGGCCTACCCTCCACTTGGCCCTGAGCAAGCATACCCTCCACATGGCCCTGAGCAAGCATACCCTCCACATGGCCCTGAGCAGGCCTACCCTACACACGGCCCTGACCAGGCCTACCCTCCAAATGGCCTTGATCAGGCCTACCCTTCACCTAGCCTAGACCATGGCTACCCAGTACCTGGCCCTGATCAATTCTACCCGGTAGACGTTCCTCATCAATACGGCTCCCCTCGAGGAACCTATAATCGTCAGTCAGCGAGGCGGGCGTCCTCCAGACCAGCGCCAGGATCCCCCGCCCCTCACCACTACCACCCGGAGGAGAGGACGCGTGGCAGAACACCTCCTTCACGCTCCAGCCTCTCGCCCATCAGGGAAGTCTCACACCCTACTTCTCTCCTCACGTTTGCTGAGGTTCATGCTCAAGAGCGCCCACAGCCACACTCAGGTGCCCAGACACTCCGTCGAGACTACCCACTCCATGCAGGCGTCAGGACACACGCAGAGGAGTGTCCCTATTACTCCCACGTCGAGACCCAGACAGAAGAACAAAAAAGTCCTCCCCAGCCGCCCCATGAAGTACAAACCCCAGAAGGATCTCGACACCCGCGTCCTAGAGTACAAACCTCGGAGCGGGTACGACACCCACGATCAAAAGCACATGTCCAAGGACGTCCACTCTATCCACGCTCTGAAGTACAAATCTCTGAGCGGCCAAGACGCCCCTCAGAAGTCCAAGTCCTAGAACGACCTCGACACCCAAGGTATGAAGTACAAATCCAGGAACGCCCAAGGCACCCGCGTTCCAGAGCACAGGTCCATGAGCTCCCACGCCACCCTCGTGCTGAGGGACAAAGCCAAGAGGGTTCACGCCCCCGACGGGGTCGTAGCTTCAAACCAACGCTACCTCGGCGCCACAGACTGAATGGCCACAGGAAACACACTACCATCCGGATTTTCGACCTGTGTGACGACGCGCGGTTTGTTTACATTGTACACGCGCTCATTCAGCTTTTCATCTGCATTGAACAGGTATTGTATATTGGGTTTGTGTCCTTGTCTCTGTGACCTAGATGGTGTTTTATATTTGTTTTGCCTCTTTATTGACTTTAGAGTTAAGTGGTTGGTAATTAGTTACTTGAAATACAGTATGTATCTCAGACAACCAGGAATTATTTAAATATTGTAAAGGTTTATGTGTACCTGACAGCTTAATGTTGTTTGTATTGTATACTGTTATGGTAATTCCAACACCGGATTAGATTTCCATATTAAAAATACACCAATATTTTATCTTTTGTAGGAAAATATGAACAAGGATTATAATATAAAATACTTATTTTAGGTGCCGCGTTGCTAGTCAAAGAAAACGTAACTGATCCTTGAGAGAGAGAAAACGCTTGCGACTTAACTTAGGTTGTGGCTAACTAAACCAACATGTGAGGGTTCGTGTGAGCAGTACTCATTCCAAACAGTACCGTACAACCTTTGTTTACTTAATGAATAAGATGGTCAGAAAGAAGCTAAAAATTAAAATAGATAAGATTTAATTTCGAATCACTAATTGTTATTCAGTGTTTGGGAATGTCTTATAGGTCAATTACATGATCTCGTTATGGTGCGAGTGTGGTCTTTATATAAACATCATTTAGTTTAATTTTATATCATATGGGATGCAGAACACCTGTCACGGTATAATCATCTCACCGTAGAGTAAGTCCGTGCGGTCGTCGTGTTATTTTTTGTTAACTCAAGTGTTGTCAACTTAAAGTATTAAAGGTGATTATACCTGTCAAGTGTTACGGTGACACAGGTGGCGCTGGAGGCCTGGAATGTAATTAATTAACGAGTTTTTTTATTTAAATTCCACAATGACGGACTGGACACTTTGGATTCGAATGCGTATATTTGTACAGTCTGGGAGGAAAGATAACCACGCTAAATTTTAAAGGTGATATTCAATGTTGGCGAGGCAGAGCCATCTCCGCCAAATGGTGATCACGGTGTATGATAACCTCTAAACACCCACGCCGTTAATGCACCTGATAGTTAATTGAGTTTACCGGCGTGATATACACAGGTGATGCTATTAGCTAGGTGTGGTGGGAAGGTTGGCACAGGGGAGGGGTGAGTCTTGCTTTTGTTTTGGTTGAGGAGAGAAGGTGTAGCAACAGCAGGGTGGCGGCGGTAGCGTGGTGCGGGTGTAGCGTGGCCCCCTTACATCCTTGTCCCCCACTCTAACCCCCCATTCTTCCCCCAGCCCCGCCCCTCCTACATTAGGACCGCCCCCTTTTCCCTCACCCCCAGTTCGCTTAGCCCCTTGGGGAGGAGGCGTCTGCGCACTAGGCCTACTCCAACATTGGCTGCGGAGTCTCCGCCTGATAACCTCGTGCTTCTGTGACGCTGCTGGCCAGGCTACTCACCCTCCCTGCTTTCCATACACCTTCCATTGATCTGTACCCACCGCGTGTTTCCCCTCCATAATACCCAATACACTGAATATTTCAGCCGCGTCTCGCATAATTCAATTTCGTGACGATACATGAAATTGGTTGGGATATCGAGCGGTCAGCGGTGAGGACTTGACAAGTAGCATTTATCGCTTCTATCACCTTTGTGAGGCCGCGTCATGTGCCAACAACAAAGATTAATTCACCTACACGCAGGTTCATAGGCCTACGGAAGGTTACCTTAAATATTGGGGTAAGAGAGACTTGTCAATAAACAAACTTAACCAGAGAGGAAGTGGGTGGAGAGAGGCCGGATATGTAGGATTAAATAAAATAAATACAAAATCTGTTGAACTGAACCAAACTTAGGTTAACAAGATTAATTCGAAATGAACTGGTTTGAATTAAATAAAGATGTTTTACTTAACAGGATTAAATTAAGATAGATGTTACTGAACTAAACGTGTCATGTTTAAACTTGCGAGTCTTTAAAGAAATGGACTATATGGCAACAACCTCGGCGCTTAATCAAACACTGATGTAAACAGAACGGAGATGAAGCTCGGGCCACTGCTCGGGATATATCGCCTAACTAAACCTTCTGCAACACTTTTCACTTTTCTTCGGTGTTTTTCATTCTTAAATTGTCTCCCTGTGTTTAATACTTAATGCAATTCTTTTTCCTTTTTCCAGGTAAGGATGTGATGTCGTGGGCTTAAGTTTTGGTTGGTGTTATTAAGGTAAGTGCACGGATGCATTTGTCCAGCGCAGGTGAGTTTGTTAATGATTCATCTAAGTGTGCAGTTATAGTGAGGGTAAAGGTCGTAGAAGGGAGAGGTGGGATAGTAGAAGGGGGAGGTGGGATAGTAGAAGGGGGAGGTGGGATAGTAGAAGGGGGAGGTGGGATAGTAGAAGGGAGGAGGGATATAGTAGAAGGGAGGTGGGATAGTAGGAGGAGGAGGGATAGTAGAAGGTGGGATAGTAGAGGTGGGATAGTAGGGGAGGTGGGATAGTAGGTGGGATAGTAGGGAGGTGGGATAGTAGAAGGGGAGATGGGATAGTAGAAGGGGAGGGAAGGGGGGTCGTACAAGGGGGAAGGAGAAAGTAAAAGGTAGGATGGGGGGTCGTACTCGGGGGGTCGTAGTCGAGGGGGTCGTAGTCGGGGGTCGTAGGAGTTACTCTCGACCATATATTTGTTTACGGGCGTCAGAGAGGAAGAAATACATGTGTTAAATTTCGGTATAATTTTGCAAGTTTTAGTCAATTTGGTCATTTTGCATAGAGCATTCATACATTATTTATACGAATTTATTACGAATTTATTATCATATTTACTAATAACTTTCGTTTTGATAAAGAATATATGATTTTTTTTTTAATACATGATTCGTTGTAAATACTAAAATAAATATATATAATGAATTTCAGAGAGAGAGAGAGAGAGAGAGAGAGAGGACATGCTAAAGTTTATCATTGCAAGGATCAGTAGAGGAGCTTACGAGAACAGAAGTCTTATTGTGTGTTGTGGCGGGAGGCAGTAGGAGGCCGGGCAGTAGAAGGCGAGGCAGTAGAAGGCGAGGCAGTAGAAGGCGAGGCAGTTGGGGGAAGGGCAGTAGGTGGTAGGGCAGTAGGAGGCGGGCAGTAGGAGGCGGGGCAGTGGGTGGTGGGGCAGTAGGAGGCGGGGCAGTAGGAGGCATAGAAGACGGGACAGTAGGAGGCGGGGCAGTAGAAGGCGGGGCAGTAGGGAATGGTGAGTCAGCTGTAACCCGGGGCAGTGTTGTGATTGTGTCCTGACCCTTTTAACGACCTGGTAATGTCCCTCCCTGGTCGTCTTTAAACTGTGCCACGCTGACTGGGCCAAAGTTATCTCGTTGACTGTGGATCGCATCATTGCTTTGTCCAAACACAAATTACCGACCGAATCGAGATGAGCCAAAGTTGTAACTAGAGCCAATTTACATGGTTGACTGGACCGTAGATATTGTAGTTGATGGGATTGAACTTAGCACTTGTTGATTGGATTGAACTTTTAACACCTGTTGATGTGATTGAACTTTTAACACCTGTTGATGTGATTGAACTTTTCACACCTGTTGATTGGATTGAACTTAGCACTTGTTGATTGGATTGAACTTTTAACACCTGTTGATGTGATTGAACTTTTAACACCTGTTGATGTGATTGAACTTTTCACACCTGTTGATTGGATTGAACTTTTAACACCTGTTGATGTGATTGAACTTTTAACACCTGTTGATTGGATTGAACTTGACAACTGTTGATTAGATTCAACTTGACTTACGTTGACTGGAAACAAAACTTAACATTGACTGTAAAACTGGATCAAAATACTCTCATTAACTGAACCCGACGATTGTACTGACTAGTAAAAAAAAAATTACCTCGTTAACTGGCTCACACAACCACTCTTAACTGAAGCAGACTCCTTCTTCCCCCCCCACACTCCCTCCCTTTCCCACTCCCTCCTCTCTCTCTCTCTCCCCCCTCTCCCTCTCCACTCACTGACTGGCGCTCATTACCAACCTCAGTGATTGCAACTTCCGCCTGTGATTGGATCATACTATTAGAGTGACTGGATTGACTACACTACACTACCTTACCCTACACTACACTACACTACACTACACCACACCACACTACACTACACCACACTATACTACACTACCCTGGCTGTGAGAGTCGAGAGAGAGAGAGAGAGAGAGAGAGACCCGTATCTAGTAAGCCCTTGTGTTTATTTGGGGGATTTACATTAAAGATTATAATGCCATTGTATCTTGAGGCTTTTCGGTCTTCTCTTCACAAATACAGTATTATTTACCCGAGACTTTATGTGATTTGTTTATTCCGTAATAGAATTGACGTAGATGTTTATATTTGGTTAATGGTACAGTAGAGAATGATAATGTTGGCAGATGATGTTTAGTAAATAGTATATAATAAGATAATACCTCGGATTTTTTTTACATTATTATAGACTTGTTTTTAAAATCTCTCTCTCTCTCTCTCTCTCTCTCTCTCTCTCTCTCTCTCTCTCTACATATATATATAATGAAAATACCAAACATAATCTCATATCAAAGCTTTCAGTAAGATCAAATGTCCATCACAGTGTTATAAACGATACTGGATTTTTTTTTTACTAATTCGAAATAAAAAAAAATGCTGGAATCCAATTTTTGTTTCCAATTTGATTCATCATTTGCGATTAGTGAGCGTAAAACAGCAACGAAACATTATGAAAGGAATGTTGTTGTGTTTTTACGTGTGTGTGTGTGTGTGTGGATGAACTGGGCGTATCACTGTGTCACTTGATCCTAATTTGAAGTTTTAATTTATTTGGGTAATTACGCGTAAAGGCGACGTATACATGGTTGTTGTGCGCTGTGGCTTGGCTTTGACTCTCGATAACTTAGGTATACGGTATTTAGTGATGCTGGTGGTGAGGAAAAATGGGAAAAATTTTAGTTTGTAGGAAGTTGATGACGTAGTGGATTGTATTGGATAATGGAAATGTTATTTTAAACGTGACAACTTAAACATGTAACACGTTAGAATGGAGAGAGCATATACATTGCACATGCATGCAAGAGTGTATAC